GCAATATTGCGTTGTTGGCCGTCTAGAGGACCGGGAACACCAGAAGTAACGATTGCGTCGGTCCCAATTCCTGCTTTCATAGGCAACAAACTGGCGTCGAGCAACTTAGAAGGAGAGCAGATTCCTGATAGGCTAGAACCCGCCCAAATAGCGAGAGATCGGAGCCTGAAGACCAGTAGCATATAGAAGACCAGGGGGATATCTGACGTGAAAAAAGTCCCATTACATGATCGCATTACTCAATTTCCTGATCTGCATACAAGTGTTAGAGGTAACACGATAGTTTGCACTGCTTGTAGAGAAGTTGTTTCATCAAAGAAAAGCATTTTGTCATCTCTTTATGCTTCCAAAATCCATTCCAGTGGGGAAAAAAAAAGATCAATATGTCGAAGTTGAGCGAACAAATTATTACCGTAGCACGAGAGAGAAGTCATCAGGACAGCAAGTGTGTTACTCAAGGGAAAGAAAATGCTATGCTTTATTACTGGGCTGGGAACCCCTCTATTATAGAAGACGAACACATATTTTTAGATTTGTTAATGAATGCATTGCAAATAGAGTTCCCAGATATCTTTTTAATTATTTTAATGCAAGAATTCGCGAAATCCACCGCTACAATACTAAAAATATTGATGGTCTTATTTTAGAATGCACCAAGTGCGCTTTTTTTATGAAGGTGCAAAAATCTTGAATGATTTGAAATAATTTTTTATAATTCGTAGAATTTATTATTGTCCGAATTTACTTTCGTTTATTGTAACTATTTTATAATTTACTCTAAATTGATTTCTATTATTTTTTTTTTTTTGATAGGACCTGCATTGATAGCAATTTTCTTTCCTAAACTGAAGCAGCAATCCTTTATAAATATGTTTAAATTATTATTATTATTATCATGAACAATAAATATTTAATTGTGGCTTTTGAACTAGTTTTGTGTTTCTTGTTTTTAAGCATACATGAAGAAAAAGTAACACAATCTTCAATAGCGAGCATACTTTTGAGCATAATTTGGAAAAAAATCAGGTACTGCTAGGAGTATAATATGCTACTTTTACCAACGAAATCGATAAGGGCCTATTCCGAGGAAATTGACATTCAAGGAGAGCTTTTTCGTGGAAAGGATAGTTATTGACATTTTGCAAAATCTGGAAAATGGAAATACTTTTTTTCTGATATACCGATGGTGATTCATACAAGAAAACGTGCATTTGTAGCCACTTAAAAGGTCCATAACTTTTGAAACATTCAATTTTTCTCAAACACCTGCTCCAGATTTTCGATGAGGAAGATTTTTTTAAGCAAAAAGTACTGCTCAAATTCGAAAACGATCCAAACTGTCTGACTAGATGCCTTTTTTATTATCGTCACCTGACATATCATTTCGAATCATTTAAAGCGAACATAGATCGAACAAACTCGACCACCGTGGTCCAGTTTATCAAAATAAAGCGAGATGAAGACACAAAGACAGATTAGAAATTGCTTTCAAGAGGTACGAAGTGAGAACTTATTCCTATTAAGTTGATGATCCAGGAATATTCCGTTAACTCTGTCAACGATTATTCGTCTTCCTGCTTGACTCCTCGACAGCAGCTGTTTTAACCAGTCTCCTCCTTTCTTTTGTTTTATTCAAACCGCTTTATTCATTCGTCTTACAGTCACTGATATGTTTTGCCACCAACTAAGAGGTTGGCTTTTGATAACTCCCCGACCAATTATAGTTTAATAAATATATTTTTGATGCCAATAAGTTCAACTAGATTGATGAAGAAGTTCGAAGTAGGATATTTTAATTTGAAGTGTAAGCTCTTAATTTAGTTAGGAGGATTGAATAGCCAAGTTATTTGAACTAATAGTGAGTATAGATTAGTGAAACCATCTGTCTGTTAGGCAGTATCTTTCAGATTTCAATTAACGGTGTCGAACTAAAATTTGTGGTAGAATTGTTGGTGAATCGTGAAAAGGAAGCTGCACTTAGTGTCCTCTCAGCCGACTAAGAACTATTTAAAGAGTGTACCGCTAAAGAACTTATTTGCAGGACTTTTAACAACTATTCAAAAGCTTTTTCTATACCATGAGTTGATGATTTGTGTTTCTCGCTTGACCATGAAATTGTGATTGAGTTTTTGTCGGAGAACAGGGTCTTTGCTGAAATATATGTAAGAATATACCAGCGGGCCCCTTTCATCCCCGGGATGTACAAGTCTACCCTAAACATGTTTACTCATACTTTGAAAATCTCACCTTTACAAGTCAATCCATCTCCATGGTATCGTGGTTTACATGTGCATTTGTAAGATCCCTTGGTATTGCTACATACAGCGTCAGCACTGCAGCTGTGTGATCCTTCTGCACACTCATCAAAATCTGAAAACAATTTTCTTTGTTTTATTCATCAATGACATATGTGCTAGTTTACCAAAGTGGGGAGAGATGGAACCTCTTCAGTTATCCCTGTGTTTCGTTGCTTTGTGGAAAGGGTTAAAATTCATGATCGTCTAGATTTTTTTATTAATATTTTTTCCTTTTAATTTTCATTAGCCCTTTTCATCTCTGGGATATACAAGTCCACCCTTAGCTTGTTTATTTATACTTTGAAAATCTCACCTTCACAGGTCAATCCATCTCCATGGTATCCAGGTTTACATGTACATTTGTAAGATCCCCTAGTATTGTTACACGCAGCGTCAGCACTGCAGCTGTGTGATCCTTCAGCACACTCGTCAAAATCTGAAAAGAATTCTCTTTGTTTTCTCGTTGTGTTTTATACCACTGTTTTGTCATTCTTTAACCTCGACTGAAACACAACTATCAATGATGACCTGCCTTTGAATATGGAAAATTTCTTTACTGGAAAGAAAAGAAAGACCCAAAATGAGGAGAATGACGAAAGCGATTTGCTTGTAAATGAGGCATAGCTTTATCAATTAATGAATCAGTACTACATTTGCGTCAAATAATCGGCTAAATAGAAACCTTTCTGTTAATGCTGGTTGCCCGAAGAACTCCGACAGTCATGCTTACTAGACGAAAGCCATGTTTGGATCCCACGGTTTAAAAGAATCGATCGAATTTGGAGCACTATTAAATATGTGTAAAGTCAATATTTTCAAGGCTGAAGTTATTCAAGGGAAATTGGAATGACCCTTTTCTTGCAGCGCAGTTCGTATTAACCCCTATTTTTGGCTGCAAAATGTCTGCTTTGAAACTTCGTCAATTCAGCATTTTCCCGATAGCGTGTATCTGCTCCAATTTTCGCACATAAGTTCCCTCTGCGGTGGCATACTCCTGAAAGTTGATTCAGTATGGAAGAGGTTTTTAGCACTTGTCATAGCGTACGAAAAAAATATATCTCAACTTAACCGTGGACCGTAATCTGCTTGTAGGTGTTCTATTTTTCGTTATGCAAATTAATATGAATGTTGATAGCCTCAGTAGCCGCCATTTAGCTTGAAAATACGTTCAAATATATTTCTTGGACATGATTTTATGTCCTTGGGCAATTATCCGAGCTTATTCTTGGGACAAATGGAAGCCATCGTTTATGTCATGGTACCACAAGTGCCAGTAACAATTTTTCAACTTTTGAACAACTATTGACGAGGTTTACCTTCGTCACAGTTTTGACCTTTGAATCCAGCAGTACACAAACAGCTATATCCTTTGTCAGTAAAACCACTTTGACAAGTGGCGTTATTCTTGCAGAGATTTCGAACACATGCGCTCTAAAGTAGAAAGAACAGAAAATATAATTTTTTTATACATTATACGGTAAAATTTCATTTTTTCCGTTAAACCATCAAATTATCTATTGAAGTTTGTCTCTCATTTTAAACTAGAAGAAAATCAAAATAACTTATCAGGAACTGATGGGTTGCTAACTTGATATGTATATGAACATTGAGAGAAAAAGCCAGAAATGATAATTGTACTAATAGATATAACAGAATATAAATATAATCAGTATCTTAAATTTTTTCCTAAAACAGTGTTCATTGTATAAAATAGCACCTACCTCAGCTGCATGATAAAAATAATTGTCTTCCTTCTTCAGCTCGTGTTCGTGTCCTTCGTGAGTAACATTATTCAATTCACATTTGTACTGCTGGTTTCTTCCCACACGGTTATCAAGATTAATGCTGACGCAGTCAGGTTCCATGTAACACATATTTTTACAAAACTCCTTTACCATCACCTCAGCGATGCGAATCACGTGGTTTATGAGGCGTTTGTCGATAGATGCTTTTTCAGGCCTGAACTCCAAAGTACGGCATTGATCTGCTTCAGAGAAGTCTAGGAACAACAACAAAGAATCAAATGAATCAAAATGCAATACTTGTGATAGAAGTCTTCTTTTTTTTCCTTTTTTGTCTAATTTGCATTGATCTACACTGTCAGCAGCTTTGGCAAGAAATACCCATCCTGTTATCATTAATTTCCTAAGAGAAACGCACATCTTTAACTATGAAGTCTACGATCGAAAATGACGCGATCTTATCCCAATAATTCATTGTTTAAGGTGGCT